TCTGTAGGCCTTTCACACGAGTAGCTTGAAAACTACTCGTGTAGTTTTACACGAGTGCTACTAGCCTAGCTGCCGTGTTCTATTTTTGTTTCACCCGACTACCCTCCCCCACTTCCGTCTCTGACGTCCTGATGATGACTCACGGTAGAGACAATGACCTCAACTATGCACGTGATGACGGGATGCCCATCCCCCACCACCGCCACTACCCCACCACTCCTTTACGGCAGTCTTCGCTCGGCTGTCAGCTTAGTTTGTGAGGTTATGTGAATATTGTTGTGTCCAATATGTCCAAAAAGTTAACAGGTGCACAGCGGAGAAAATTGAATAAAGAAAGTGAAATAGCCCGGGAAGTGTTACTGTCCAAAGTGCCGAAACTAACAAGTTATTTTAATACTTAATCTGCAATCCCAGCGGCAAAACCCGATACCGTCTGTGACCTGCCACTGTCAGTAGGCCTACCAAGTACGAGTTCTCAAGGAGCTAGCACTAGCGGAGAAGTGTCTACCCTTCCTACAGACATTGACATTGAAACTGAAATCCCAGATAATAACCAAGATGAAGAGGTAAATTTAGAGCCTAAGACTGACAATGACAGCAGAATTAGCAAACATATTGATTGCTTGACTTTGTCTGGAGATCCAGCGACATGGCCAGATCGCATTTTAAATGAACAGCGTAATGACCTAATTTTAAAATATCCTGCTGAAATTTCCATGGAAGATTATCAGTATCCAAAAAAATTCCGATAAAAGACATTTTTCAAATGGCTTTCGATTTCGTTTCGCTGAAAACCGCGAAAAAGTTCTTAGACGTTGGTTGGTTTATTCAGAAAAAAATTATTCGGCTTACTGTTTTTGCTGCAGGATTTTTGACCCATCCTCTAAATCACAGTTTGGGCAAAAATGGGTTTTAATAATTGGAAACACATGACTGAGAGGTTGAAATCTCACGAAATATCTCAGGATCACTTTAAATACATGGTCCAGTGGTGCATGGCTGAAAAATAGACTCAAAGGGGGTACTTCAATTAACCAGGAAATTATTAATCAAATCAACACTGAAGCACAGCGCTCAGAGGAGGTGTTGCGACGGATAGTCGAAATTACTTTGTATTTAGCAGAGCATACCATAGCATTTCGAGGCTCGTCTTCCAAGTTATTTACAAAAGACAATGGCAATTTTCTCGGTCTTGTACAACTATTAGGGAAGTTTGATGCAGTTTTAATGGAACATTTACGCAGAATATCCAACCGAGAAAGTAACTTTCACTTGTTAAGTGTATCGAGTCAAAATGAGATCATTAATATGTTAGGCAATGCAGTTAAGGAAAGCATCATAAACAAAATAAAGAATGCCAAGTATTTTTCTGTAATTTTCGACTGCACTCCGGATATTAGCCGCAGAGAGCAAACATCTCTAAAGATCCGCTATGTTAATGAAGAAAATGATGAAATTAACATAGAGAAGAGTTTTATAGCGTATCGAGTAGCTGAAGAAACCTCCGGTAAAGCTCTCACTGACCTTATGTTTAACGAAATCGCCAAATGTGGACTAAACATGAAAGACTGTCGGGGCCAGGGGTACGATAATGGTGCCAATATGGCAGGTATCCACAAAGGAGTTCAAGCTCGTGTACTAGCAGATTTCCCTCTGGCTTTATTATGCCTTGTGGATGCCATAGTCTGAACCTGGTAATTGCTGATGGAGCGAAATCCTCGGTCAAATCTACATCTCTATTTGGAACACTCCAGCGTATATATACGATATTTGCTGGCTCTACAAAGCGTTGGTGTGTGACAAGTGAACACGTTAAACAAGTATGTCAAACACGATGGGAAGCCCGCATATCTTCGGTGCAAGCTGTTCGCCATCAGTACGTTGAAGTGCGAGATGCATTGATAGAACTGAATGAGAAAACGGACGACCCTAAGACAGCGAGTGAGGCTCATTCCTTAGTCAACCAGATGGAAGACTTTTCTTCATAGTATGTTTACTACTATGGCATGATTTGCTTTTTGAAATAAATATCATAAGTCATAAGTCTTCAAGGGAAATCCAAAGGCGTCAGTGATGCTGTCAGTAAGTTCAATAATTACTTGGACTTCTTAGACAAATTTAGAGAAGATGGATTCACAAATGCAGTAATTTCCGCAAAGGAAATTGCTGAAGAACTCTAAATAGAACCAGTCTTCCCTGAAACCAGAATTCGCAAGAAGGAACGTCTCTTTTTGTACGAAAGTGCGAACAACGAAGTGCAAACATCTGCAGAAGATACATTCAAGAGGGAAGTATTTTATTCATTGGTTGATACAGTTATAACTTCAGTTAAATGTAGGTCCACTGCACTTTATAATCATAACTCGCAGTGGGGTTTTTTGTATAACTTGGCTAATCTTCCACCAAAAGATGATTTGAAACAAAGCTGTTTGCAATTAGAAACTCTCTTAAGAAATACTGACGGAGTATCAGATATCAACGGGAATGAACTTTTTTGTGAACTACAACACGTGAACTCCATCTTGGATATCAATGAACGGGAACGCCAACTTCAGCAAGTTCGACCAATTGACGTGTTGCGAGCAATCAAGAAAACGGACAGCAAATATTTATTTATAAATCTCTGGATTGCACTAAGAGTTTTGCTAACCACACCAGTGTCAGTTGCGAGTGCTGAGCGTAGCTTCAGTAAGCTGAAACTTATCAAGACATATCTAAGATCATCCATGTCACAGGAGAGACTGAACTCTCTTGCCATCATGTCAATTAAAAACGATGAAGCTAGGAAAATAGACTTCAAAGACATTCTCAAGACATTTACTCTTGCAAAATCCAGGCGAATGCCATTTAATGTTTAGGTTAGGGACTAGGGTCTTATTTAAGATTTCTAAATGTAATAAATGTAATAAAACTATTATCCAACCAGTTCTCTTATATGGATCTGAGGCCTGGACCCTAACCAAACAAAACGAAAGGAGATTAATCGTCTTTGAGAACAAGATATTAAGAAAGATTTTTGGCCCTATAAAAGAAAATGAAATATGGCGGATCAGGAAAAACAGAGAACTACGAGAACTCTACGAAGACCCAGATATAGTAGCTATTGTTAAGAGCCGAAGATTGAGGTGGGCAGGACACATAGCGAGAAGAGAAGAAAACAGTCTCCTGAAGATAGCTACAAATGGACGACCACGAGGGACCCGACCACTAGGAAGACCCAAACTACGATGGGGAGACCAGGTGCGGAAAGACCTTCATCGCATGGGGACATCAATTGACCAAGCAGCAGACAGAAAACACTGGAGGCAACTTGTTGGCGAGGCCAAAAACCAACTTAGGTTTGAATGGCCAAGGAGGTAAGGTAAGGTAAATGTAATAACGTGGTTTTATTTTATTCTGTCATTCTGTAAATTCTATTCAGAATAGGTCTGGTTTGAGGTTTTGTTTACCATTGTATTGATTTCTATTGGCACTGTATTAATTAATAACATGTATAGTAATTTTTTAGGCCTTAATATTTTCTTACATTAATTGTATGGATTTCATTATCATCTATTAAAAAGTTTTTCTTATAAAATGTAAGTAGTTTAATCCATGATTCCTGACTCTAGTATTTTTAAACGGTTATTCAACCCGCCACGTAACTTTGTATAACGATCATCACTCATCATCCAAGTGTTTGAGGAGGGGGCGCCTGACAACCTCTCGCCCCGGGTGTCAATAAACCACGCGACGGCCCTGCTACTACGGTCAATTTATTGACTTGGGTGTAATCAAACTACAGTTGCCACTTGCCAAGACACACATATCAAGTGTTTTTTTAGGATTGTGTTCTTTCATTTTTGAATACTCTAAAGGTTCTGCCAGTGACTCTGAAGTTATTGAAGTTCTACTATCGTTTGCTCTTTACCCATCACAACTGCTGAAAATGAAAAGTTCTTCTCCGTCATGAAACACTTCCTAAAAACAACAACAACCAGTGATATTGATGACAGTGAAAAGAGAAGAAGTAAAAAAAATTTGACCTGAATCAACTGGTGAACAATATTTATAATACAATTCAAATTTCAATACGATAACATGCGTAGAATTTGAATTATATTCAATAAAGTGAACGACTGCAATTACCAGGTTTGGAGGCAGTCTGGAAAAGCTCAGGGAGGGATAATTGGGAACTTTTCCAAAATACACTTCTTAATTGGTTCTATCACATGTAAAATTCCAGCTTTCCACTATTTAGTTACAAAAAAAGTCAGTTTGTGCATTTATTGACTGGGCTAGATGCGACGACGAGAGGTGTTTGCTGACGCCCAGCTCTTCATCAGTTCACCTAGATGACCAATAATTTATTTGAATAACTTGAAGAACATACTAAAACTTTTGTTTGAACCATATTTGTGTATTATTTCTATTTGAAAGTAGAAAAACTAAATTGTGTACTCTGAAACAGAAGTTTTAACAAAGTTTAAATTTTATATCTCCCTGAATACTGGTTTTAGAAGAAAATTTTAAGTAAACAAAAGTTGTAGGAAAACTTATCAGAAATAAATTAAAACAAATTGCAACACGAAAGTGTACATCATATTTGACTTATGATCAATTGAGTAAACCCCGCAATTTCTAGGTTTGGAGGGGAGGTGGGGGTAAAAGCTCAAGGGGTAGAAGTGAGTACTTTTGGGAAAATACACCTCTCATGTGGTTTTATCACATATAAAAAAATCTAGCTTTCCACCATTTAGTTGCAAAAAAGGGCGTTTTATTGTTTTCATTGACTGGGCTATAATTAAGTACCAAGACTGAACTGCCCTGAAATCTGTCACTCTAAATAATTATTTGCTTTGAAATTATACTTAATTGTGATACAAAATGATTATAATTATGTGATACAAATTTAGAATGTGCTAAAACAATCTCTTACCACCAATTTATGTATTCTTAGCATGCGATTGTGTAACATACAAGTACAATTCAAGCTGCTAACCAATACCTTCCTTCTCCAGAACCGAGATAGAAGAACTGGAACAGAAGCTTGTGAAGGAGAGAGAGCGTTACCACATAGCTTCTCTGGAAGATGGAATCGGAATTTCTACAATCCCATTTTTCAATGTCACTGATAAAGTAAGCAAAGCAATATTCTCCTTTAATTTGGGTTGTTGGCTGAATCGTATTTAGTTACTTACAAACTATTTTACAACTATACGGCATAACCTTTTGATTTAAAAGGCATGCCACAAACCAAAAAGAATTGATGCTATCATATCAAGCCACAGGTGGTGTACTGATGCCAGTTGTCTATTGCTGTAACCTTAACAGCAACAGCCAATTCCGCTATCAAGAAAAATATTCATGGTAGTTTTCGATGCCAACCGCATAGTGGTTCATAAATTGCTGCCGGATTTTTTTGCGCTTACTATGAAGATTTCTATGGTAAGGCTGATATTAACGAATTATGGCAAGGTTGACGCCGAAAACTTCTAATGACACCGACTTTGAAAGCCTAATTTTAGGATAATCAATAAGAAGTTTCACTCGCTAGAAAAATTAAAATATGAAAGGACAAACTAGCAGAGGTGTCATTATTAAGGGTTATAAAATGACTAGAAATAATTTATTTATGGGTCATAATTACAAAGTAAAAACGTCTTCTTGAGTTTTGATTTTTTTTATTTACAGATGACTCTAGTAAAGGATACAGCTGTGTATCAGCTGATGATAGAAGTGGAGACAGCAATAGACAACATTCTGCTGCAAAGTGATGTCCCACTGGACCTGCTGGATGTTGATAAGAACTCTGCCGTGCTTAGTCGAAGTGCATGTGCTCCTGGTGTAAGTACAGTATATCTGTCTAGCAAAAACCTACACACTTTTGTTTTTATGTATTTTCCCAGTGGCAAGAACTAGGCCACACACCGTGGTGAAATATATTGGAGGAATATAACTTCATCCTGTAAGAACAAAGGCTTAAGGTAACTTAGTTAAAAAAATTAAACACTTTTGTTGTAAGGAATTTTACAATTTTGTATAGTAGATTTTACCAAGTAATAAAATTGTTGGTAAATACAATCACGTTTTAGAGATAAGAAGATAATTCTGTTATTGCATGCTAAATAATATTATTACCAACTTGGAACTAATGAGGTATCCATGATTTTAGTAAAAAAGAGCTACGTTTATGTGTTTTACACAAATTCCATAAGTCATCGTCACAGTGAAACAATGGTTATATCTGAATTATCGGTAACTGGTAACATAAATCTTCAAAACATTCATCCAGATGCCTATAGATGTTGTAAACAAAGCAAAATTAGCTTAAAAATCTAGTAGTAATGCTCTTACTGCAAAGTGCAAACTAAACTAATGCTGCATACCAAAGTCATTTATGCAGCTTCTCTCAAACCCAGAATGCAATCTTTAGTTTTTCAGTAGGATGACACTGTATCTACGTTTGTTTGACAGTCGGACAACCGGTTACTGGCGACATACCGGTGTCAGATGAACACCACGAGACTGGAGCTGTGTTTGCGTACGACCGAGGGTGTCGCTGGCACTCTGTGTGTCTACATCACTGCGGTACTGCAGCCCAAGTGTTGCCAACTGCGCAGACACCAGATCAAGCCACTCTCCCTGCATACCCGCTGCCACCAGCTGGATGTCTCTAGGTACTCATGTGACATTTAATAAGTTTACTCCTGTAAAATAACTTGTTATGTGTGTTTTGAGTTGTTGCGTGTCAGTGGCGTAATGTCAGTGCGTATCAGTGCGACTGGAGAACTACTTCCACCCTAAGTCTGCTACAAAGCAGAACGTCTGTGGGACTCGTGGGTCGTTGGGGGTCCAAATGGGACCAGATACAACCGGTCGAAGAGTGGGTGGATAGATGAGACCACATTCACCGATTGGTTTAAGACCATCGTTTTGCCTTGGGCCCGATCCAAAGAGGGCACCAAGGTTTTGATCGGTGACAACCTGTCCACCCATTTTTCACCAGAGGTAATAAACCTTTGCAGTGAAAACAACGTGTTGTTTGTTTGTCTTCCTCCTAACGCAACACATCTGTTACAACCGCTGGACGTTGCCTTTTTTAGGCCCCTGAAACGTGCCTGGAGGGACATCCTTTGCAAATGGAAGCTAAATGCGGATCCTCGGCTCTCCAACCTGCCAAAAAACCATTTTCCAACCCTCCTGAATGAACTGATGTGTGCTATCTCCTCAAACGCTGCGAAAAACCTTCAAGCGGGATTTAAGGCATGTGGAATTGTACCCTTAGACGCCCAAGTGGTTTTAAACAAACTTCCAACCACCACACAACCAGAAACTCCGACTAAAAAAACCAAAAATTTGGTTGGAGAAGGGGTCATCGAATTACTCTCAAAGCTCAGATATGAAGCACCAGGCGCAGGCAGAAGAAAGGCAAAAAAAAGATTTAATGTCACACCAGGGAAAAGTGTATCCCAAGATGACGTGATTGAGAACTCAAACCCTACAACTTCTACTGACCTACCATCTGACTTGTCTCCACCCAGGAAGAGGAAGCGGAAACAGATCGAAGACGAATCGTACTTGAGCTCCAACCCTGATGACGATCTTCTTTCGCTGAAGGAATTTTCAGACGAATTTAATGAAGATCCGCCAGAGGACGACGAACATTTAGTCTTCAAAGACCCCAAAGTCGACGATTGGCTATTAGTAAAGTTCCCCGGGAAGAAATCAGTAAAGTTTTATGTGGCCCTTGTAGAGGGTAAAGCCATGGAACTATTTGTAAGATGTGCCCGAAATGTGGGGAAAGCCAGTTTCATGTGGCCAGATCCAGAAGACAGGTGTTTCATAGACTATGACCAGATCGAAAGAAGGCTCGAACCACCGAAATTCAACTACAAAAATGACAGGCTTGTCTCTTTTTCCTTTAAGAACTCGTTTTCTGGATATAACGTTTGTTAAAGACTTAACGTAACAACGGCTTCTACGCCATTTTGTAAGCCTAGTGTCAATTTTTCAAATGTTTGTTTAAACTTTAAAACCATATACTGTACCCGTAATAAATAATTAATTGTTTGTTTAAACTGTTTTGTTTAATATCCTAATCTGTTGTCATTGACTATTACAACTCCACATGTATTTATTAATGCTTTTGGTTCCTATTTTATCTTAATCTATGCTTAAAATATTGAACCCCTTAAAATGTGATGTTATTTTAGAGTTCCTTGACTAACTTACCTTACTACCAACATTTTAAACGTCATTGATATGTTAAAAGACATCAGACGACTCAAAGCACTGTCCAAAACCGGACAGGAGAGGTTAGTTTGCAGGATTTTAGCATTATTAAATACGTGTCCGACTTAACCCCGATTGGGTGGGTTGACCCGGACACTTTATTTTATTTTATATTTAATTAATGTTAACATCTAAAGAAAGATCCCCTGGGTTAAGGAAATAATAAATGAAAGACGCTCTTCAAGATGTTAATATTTTTATTGTCGATATTCAAAACACAAAGTCACTATAACCTAAAAATAACAAAAAAGTGTCCGGGTCAAGCCTGATTTACGGTAACAGATTTGTTTAGAAAGCGTATGGTAAGTGAGAATACTGAAAGTGATGACAGTTCCATGGGTGCCGTGAACAACGAGCGCGCACCGTCAACATCGGCGCCGGTGCCGGGGGAAGTACAGATTGTCTCCACCACCCAGTCACCGAGTAGGCCTACCTCCTTCACACCAACCCCGGTACTTCGCTCATCCAGGTACCTGTTCAACCATTAGAAATTGGTGGTAAACCTTTTCCATGTCATCCTAACGGTATTGGACTATATATAAGTAAAACACTTGGAGTTGTAGAAAAATATGAAATTTCACCAAATGTTTGGCAACCTCCTTCAATCTATACTTTCCCTATTTTAGAAAAGATTTCTACAAGGAAAATTATTTTTCAGTGGAAATGGATTGCAGAATTTCCGTGGCTTGCTTACTCTGAGGTGCAACAGGGGGTGTTTTGTAAATATTGTTGTTTGTTTCTAAGCACGGCGTGGAGATTAATCACCAGGAAGTAGGTGATTTTGTTAAAAAAAATGACAACTGGAAAAAGGCTAAAGAAGCATTCAAAAGCCATGAATATGCTCAATATCATAGAAGTTCTTTAATGGACATTAAAAGCTTCGAAAAAGTAAAAGAAAAAGAAATCGAACCTATTAGTAACCAAATTGACCAAGCACGCAAAGACGCGGTTGCTCAAAACAGATCAAACCTGAAGGCAATCATTGACGCTGTAATTCTATGCGGTCAACAGGAACTAGCATTGCGAGGGCACCGGGACTCAGGACGTATAGATGTTGAAAATTAGTGCAGTGAATCTAATGAGGGAAACTTTAGAGCCATATTAAAGTACCGCAGTCAGGGGGACCAGGAGCTACATCAAGAAATAGATAGTCCTGGCAAGATTAAGTATCTTTCACCTAAAGTCCAAAATGAAATAATTACATAATGTAACACAATAATGTTAAGAAAAATTGTAGATACAATAAATGATGCAACATGTTTTTCAATTTTAGCGGATGAAACCACAGACATTTCAAATATTGAATAGCTGACGCTTTGTGTATATCATGTACAGGTAGTTAACGGAAGTCACTTAAAGAAGACTTTTTACAATTTGAATCAGTCATGTCAATGACAGGTGAGGGTCACTAATTTTGTGACTGAATTTTGCCCTTGCCAAACAAATCATTAAATGCTTACAGAGATATGGAATTGACCTACATTTTTTAAGAGGGCAAGGTTACGACGGAGCGGCCAATATGGCGACATACAATTGTGTACAAAAAAAAATCCAAAACGACCACCCGGCTGCATTGGACGTGTATTGACAATAGACAATAGACAAATCATCTTTATTTACACATTCATTAAGAATAGTAGTAGCGTCAATAATATTGTGCAGCTTACGCCCTCAATCTGGCAGTCACTAAAGCCTGTGAGGTACAGAGTATTAGAAACTGCCTTGGAACAGTGGAAAAAGTTCATACTTTCTTTAACCTAAAAGGCAAGCGGTTTTATTGAACTGCATTGAAGAGTCCGGTTTGAATCCTCGAGTCAAAAGTGTAAAAAGAATATAAACGACCGGATGGACTTCTAAGTACAATTCGGTTCAAGATTTATAGCACATTTTAGATTTTGTGATCGAGGCATTGGCCTTGTCATTGCAACTTGAACGTCGGAGCGTGACAAGAATATTGCACAGCCTGCACTTTTATCCTTACAAGCTTCAGAATGTTCAAGCTCTAAAACCAAATGACAGTGAGATACACTTAGCTTTTTGTCAACAGCTACTGACTAAAATCAATGACGACACCAACATCCTTGAAAACGTTTGGATGTATGACAAGGCCCACTTTCATTTAAATGAACATGTCAACAAGCAGAACATGCATTACTGGGCTCAACAAAATCCTGCTGGACTTCATCAACACAGCCCCCAAGTTACTGCATGGTGTGCAGTGTCTTGTCGTGGTTTGATTGGACCTTACTTTTTTGAGGATGAAAATGGTTCCACTGTAACTGAATCATCTCGGCGTTACATTCAATGCTGAAGACATTTTCTGCTCCACGGCTTCATGCTTTTCCAGATATTGAAATTCAGCAAATCTGGTTTCAACAGGAGGGAGCCACCTCACACACTGCCAATCTGTCAATGGCTCCATTGAGACGTTTGTTTGGGGAGCAACGGAACGCTAACGTCGCTTAGCCCCTACGGTCCCCAGACCTCTCAGTATGCGACTTCTTTCCATGGGGACATCTAAGAAGCATTGTGTACCAGACTAGGCCAATAAATCTTATTGAGCTCAAGACTCAAGATCGAAGAACACGTCGCCAACATCCAAGAAGACACATTCCGTCGCACAATGCTTAGTCTTCAAAATCGATTGAACAAATGTGTTAGTTGCAATGGACAGCACTTCTCTGATGTGATTTTTAACTTTATTCTTATTTCCAACATTTCTCATGTATTTTTCCACTCATGACCAACACATTTTCAGCATAAACATTTTTTTGTATGATTTTCTTGGTTTATCATGTTTATTTCTAAATTCACCGTTTCTCTGTGCTATCCTGTAATTAGCTAGCTGTGATCGCCATGTTTTTTTATATAATTGAGAAGAAAAAGAATCTGTTCCCTCCGTTTTTGAGTGTGAGCGAGTTGAATTCATCAGACCCTGTATGTCGACTGTGATTTCAGGTAACAGACTTAGTGTATTTCACTGAAAACAAGTTTTTCGTTAGAGATTAAGTTTGAAAACATATGTATGTGGGTTGACAGTTGTTTTAATGTTTACGAAGGCATTTATCTGTTTAAATCTGATATTCAAGTATTGAAATCTAAGCTGTTTGTCCTTCATTTTAATAAAGTAGGTATTTGAAGCCAAATTTAATTTTGTAATCTCGTCAAATCCAACGTGGCACTGTTGGTATTAATTCCCATATGGTTGTACGCAAAACAATACCGACACTTGTTTGAAAAAAAAAAGACAAACTATTATCATTCTTTAATAATAATTACATTATAATTTATTAATAATAATAATTATAAATCTTAATTTTTTATACCGGACTAGCCTTTTCAATGCCAGAAGTTGTTGAAGTAATTATTGAACTTATTTATTTTC